GAGTGGCGAAGAAGTTAGACTCTTTTCTGTTGAAGTCACGGGACACCATGGCCACCCTTGAGACGGAGGTTTTCGCGGTGTTGCGGCGTTTGGGACTGCGCAGTCGAGCTGAGGACTGGCAGGGTAGGGAGTTAGTGCGCGGCAGTCTGTCGCGTAGGAGGCGAAGCACAGGTTCTGCGGAGTGTAGTGTAGCGTAGTACCGTGCAGGCGCGTAGCATAGTGCAGTGTAGTGTTAGTTAGAACTTAGAAGGTATAAAGTAGTTCAAGGCGTCTTGCCTTGGGATTTTTCCAGTTTCGGAAGTGCAGATCAGGAACTCATTTTCTCTGCGTGTTTGTGTCCTTAGTTCTGTCACCACGCCAGATGTGCTACACCTTGGCGATCCGCATTGTGTAGCTGAAGGCCTTCGGTCGAATGTTCAGAGCTAGTACATTGGTTAGAGACTTGAGTAGTTCGGATCTACACCTGAGGGTGATTGCCGATGCTCAGAGCTAGTGACTAGTTAGATACTTGAATAGTTTCGCCCCTACACCTTCGAGTGGTTGTTTTTGATTGTACTCCTTCGGGGTTTTTCCCCTGAATGCCAAAGTGAAGTTTTGCTACTTCGTGTAAGCCTTGGTTGTAAATTCAGGTTACGCTGCAGTAGGTGCCTTCAAGGTAACCCCTGTAGTATTTCTGGGAATGACAAGTGCCTAAGAATTCAAACTCTTCAATAGACTGTTATGGTGTGTTAGTGGAACGTTTCTCAGTGAGTCCTTCCGTGCGGACCTGTGTTCTCTACGCGTTTTGTGAGTTGAGAGTGTTGTTCACCGCGTGTGAGTGACTTCGATCCGAAGTAGGAAGTCCAACCCGGGTTGCCTAAGCTAGCAGCAAACTAGTGGAAGGGTTGTAAAAGCCGGAGTTGGGAGTCACTACCCGTAGCTTCGTTGAGTACTCGCGAAAGACTTTCCCCCCAGAAATCTTAAGTAGAGGTCCCAATCGATCTCTGGGTTGTGTTTCTGTAGTTTCAGGTGTGTGTGTGTGTGTGTGTGTGGGTTACGCTGCACTGTGCGAGCTCCGAGTGAACACTTGCAGTATTTCTGGGAGTGACAGTCGCTTGAGAATTCAAACTCCTCAATAGTCTGTTAAATGTGACACTTTGTACCCTGTGTGTTCCTATGTTACTGTGGATTCGACCTTTCTACCACTATATTGTAGTTTTAGCCTTTAGTGGGTTATTACAGTGTGGATAATCAAGTTGAGATTTTCCCTTGCTTTAATCCGAAAAGCAATTAGACTTTCAGCCGAAAGCTTGGTATCATATCATATTTTACTAGATCACGCCATGTAGCTACAATTCCAACCTCCCTCCTACACACACCACTTAAATACTTTCCGCTGATGGCTAACACAAGAGTGATTGTATCAGGAGATTTCGTTGCACATTTATTCCCTGCTCCAGTCCCGATGCCAGTGCAATTGCCGGCACCAAGTTCACGGCATTCGCTTCACCTGAACTACACCTACTTTTACTGCAGTGAGAAGAGTAAATGCCGCTGAAGTGGTGATGGTGACTTCTTACAATGTAGCAGTCCGTCTAAGAGTGTTACTCAAAGTGCTGTAGTTTCTACTACAGCACTTTTTACAGTTTCTGCAAACCTTTCCCGAATCTTCACCACATTTTCTTGTTTTGAACGAGTCAGAGTCCAGCGAGGAAAAGGAATCCAGGAACGAGTCAGAGTCCAGCGCTCATTTCACTTCATGCAGTAGAATCCAGAGTTGCGTTGACTCATATGCAAATGTGGTGGACGGTGCGCCAACTGCGCAAGTCGCAATACGTTGGCCTTCACGCCCATTCCGTAGAAAATCCGAGAATTATGGATTTCTATTACTGCAGCATGGAGATCTATCCGTTCTTAATTAACTCCCTTGCTCGCAGAATTTACGGAAGAATCTTGTTGTTGAACGTCCACTGCGCCCCTGCATTACCATTTATTTAAGAATTGGAACTACATAGACTCAGCACTTGGAGACCAAAATCAGGCGCTGAATTAGCATGTCATATCATTTGTGCGAGAGAGATGATGAGTAATTATGATGTCAAAAGCACCTTCTAAGCAGCACCGGAAGTATCCATTTCCTATTTTATTTCCGATTGTGGAATTGAAATGGCAGTATACATGTTATCAGATGGCCCTGTTTGTCAATCTTTCAAAGAAAGTTTGTAGATCTGATAGATCTGATCTTAGGAAGTGTGCGTTGCTGTAGTAATGCTTACAACAAGCTCCAGAAGCCTGATGTGTTCAAGTTTCTCATCCGATCTTAGATCGAAGGAACTCAGATCAGAGTATGTTCGACGTAGTTACTCGTAGAAGTATGAGGTTTTTGCTCGCGATGATCCAATGACGAGAGACAGAATAAAGTCATGGATAATTTCGACTTCTCCTGGTTTGCTCTGATGCTTACATTGTTCCAAATAATCCTCTTAAGCGTCAGTTTGAAGTGCGAAGTGACAAGGTCACCACTACTGTCCCAAAGCATGATTCATGATAACAAAGGAGTCCAGGTGTCGAAGATGACAGAGAATCCCATCCATCTCGAGAGAAAGCTAGAGGGTTCTAGCGGAGATCGAGGGTCGTCAAAAGGAATCGATGCGCGAAAATCATTATTGTAGGAGAGATTTGTGCAGAAGTCTTGTTTTATCAGTAAGATGCATTCGAAGTGGAACTAAGCCTCCTAAGGGATCTTCTAAAATCTCCTGCTCACACAAACAAGCGCCAGAAGCAGATTCACATCACTTACGACGATTTTCTGAGCTTCACTGATCCGAGATACCACATGATATTTTCCATCCATTTTTCCGCACGTTCGTACATTGACTTTTAGTATATATTATTCTAGCATACGCAAAACACTATTCCTTGATACTGAACTCTTCACAAATTATCACATATCTTAGACTTTGTCCAGATGCAACCAGAAATTGTGAAGTATATTAATTCTCAGTTCACTACACTGGAGAAAGTGAAGATGTTGGGCTCTCAAATTTGGAAGCTTTTGTGGAACCTTAGCTAACAATTACAACGCAAAGGACAATGTATATTATTTCACTTCCGGCATGTATTGAACTTAAGATAGCTCACTTCACTAAGGAAGTGAACATGTTGGCATAAATACTCTCAATCTTTTTTTTTTAACCTTAGTTGAAAAGTACAATGTCTCCACTGCAAAGTACATCAGAATCATGTCACAACTTCCTTTGTAGTGTTGTAGCACAACATCAAAGGTTGTGACTCCAACATTTCAACCCTCAAAGGCATGCCCCGGCGAAGTGCAGGTGGCATGCCTCATTCCCACTCGTGCGTTTTGAGTCATGCCCATAGGAAGGAATCAAACTCAATAGCGTTATGTCAACACCCATTTAAGCATATATGTATTATTCATGCAATCTCACCTAGAAAGACACCAAGAGTTGAAAAAGTTGTTTTGCCTCCAACCCTACTTCAGCTGAGTTGAATATTTCAACCTTGTGAAGCTTCCTTCTTGCTTCGGCTTCTTTACACCATGTGCATGAGTTGAAAAAGTTGTTCTGACTCCCACCCTACTTCAGCTGAGTTGAATATTTCAGCCCTGTGAAGCTTCTTTCTTGCTTCGGGTTCTTGACTCCACCTGGTACCGACAAGAGTGGAGTTGAATCTAGAATAAGGTATATACCCTGTCAGAATTCCTCACTCTGTCCACAGGCAGTGACTCCGACGTGGTGAAATTGAAGTTACGTAGTTTGTTCTGAAATACATGCAATTCGTACGCAGTCACACCATATTTCAAGACCATGATCGCCTACGAGACTGATTCTGAGGCACGATTTCCACGGATCTAGGCAGCAGGTGGTACCGTTGGAGTACGGTGGATTATTATGGAGCGGCTGCGGTCCGGGAAAAGGACAATCGCATCCGACTGCTTTTGAGGCACAATTTCCACGGATCTAGGAAGCAGGTGGTACCGTTGGAGTACGGTGGATTATTACGGAGCGGCTGCGGTCCGGGAAAAGGACAATCGAATCCGACTGCTTTGCAGACCCGAATTTCACGAATCTAGGAAGCAGGTGGTCCGGTTGAAGCAAGGTTGATTATTATGGAGCGGCTGGGGTCCGGGAAAAGGAAATCTAATTTGACGTGACGGCCGTCCTGATGCGGAGAACGGGTGTAAGGAATACTACTGTTCACCATGTGCTTATAATTGCAGCGCTATGACACCGCTGAGTTAGATGCTGTCTTTGTCACTTCAACCTTGAGGTTCATTTTAGATTTTTTATCTGTATCTCTAGACGTGTCATCGCCGATTTCTGTTACAGTACTTCCGTGTCACACATGTGTTAGTTTTTGTTTTTTCTTCTTGATTGGTGTTCTTCTTAATTTGAGTTCCGATGAGCTTGAGTCGGAGTGGTCCATGACCACGACTACGCAAGTTGATGGGGCTGGGCAGCCAGCGCTGGCTATGGCGAGTATCCTCGAGCATGAGATACACACAACGAGCCTTCGATGCAAATACAACGCAGGAACTAATTTCCAGTTTGAAATCATATTCCTTCCAGAATATGCGCGAGCATGTACGAGCCAGAAAACTCGGAGTTCCGATCCTGATCGACAATGAAACAATCTTTGGGCCAGCCAGCAGCATCAATACTCCAAACCACGTGTATCTCAGCACAACTGAGCATCGGAACAAGATCAGAACCCAAAGAGTTGCAAGCACGCTCGGTAGGCTTGGCCACGGTCCGGGAAAAAATTTTCCTTTGGCAGCAGAATCAGACCAGCGAGCTACCCAATTCGTGATTCAGTGTGAGAAAATTCGCGAGAATATTTTTTCACGCATTGGTACAACTCAGCTCGAGTCTCTGAACGTCCAACTGTGGGCTCATTTGAGTCGCGGCCCACCTCTTTCCCTCCGCCATCGAGAATTTTGGGTTTTAACGCCCCTCCCCATCGGCCAAGTAGGAGTCCGGACCGATGGTTAATCGGTTAACCGTCGGGACCGGTTAAAATATCAGTTAATCGTTAACCGATACGGACCAATCCTGGACCGGTAAACCGGTCCACAAATTTTCCGGACCGGGCCGTGGCCAAGCCTAAAGATCGGTGCGTTCTTCAATTCTTGAAGACTCGTGAATTTCCTTTTGTTACAGCCTGACCAACCCAGAGGCCAGGAGAAGGGCGGACACTAGCTTACATCGCCAGCGGGCCCTCAACTTGTAGTCTGAGTCTCCTCCATGCATCATGTCAGCTCTTTTTCTCAATCATGCGTGCGTCTAGATGCTACTTGCTACCTGTTCATGATTCTCCCTGAGACATCATTCTGAGTGCCCACATCTCGCCGCGCCAATTTCTGCTCTCTTCTCTAATACTGCACTACGATTCGTCTCCTTACTTCTACTCATCCAGATCGATCCATCAAGCAACTGTCCCATGTCGCCCAAAGGTCAGTCGCACGGCCGCCATCGACTTTCCTCCCTACTTACTTCTAGCATAACGCCACATTCATCCTGGCAAGGACAGGGACGGAACGATGGATTTTCTATCCACTTCAAGTGACTCGAGTTACTGTCAAATCGATCTCAGACAGAAATAAGATTGATCGTTTTTCCGTTCAGAGGAGAAAATGGTAGTGCTGAAGCTCGCTCCGGGCCTGACATTGAACATTTTCTGGTCTACAGACAAGGTTACAGACAGTGCCGCAGTTGATGACTGCTCTGTATCCACTCCCACCCTCCCTCCAGTACATGCCATTGCTGCGCATCTGTAGATGGATTCGTATTTTATACTGGCTGCTGGTGCTGACTCTATCTTTGAGCAAATCGATTTGTTCCTGTGGACAGGTGAAGGTGAATGATCGCAGATAGATAGACAAGTCAATTCCGGGATTCTGAACTAGTCGTGGCCATGGCAATGACTGTCGTCATGGATGGATGCTCAGAGTCATCTGTTTAATCAATAAGTAGTAATCCGTGGGTTCCCTAGCTCTCGTGAGTATTCATGATTATGATTTGGCACAAAACATCATTCTTCGGATCGTAGACGTGTAGACCGAGCTAGACGAATCGATCCAGATACTCGCTCACGGTGGTGTCCTTTACTTGTGGATACAACTCAGTGGCCTCGACGTCGTTGCTTCCGAACTCGAAACTCGTTTGAGCGCCCTTCACGAACATGTAGTATCTGAAAGCGTGCGGGAGATTCAAGGGAAATGGCGATTCTGCACAAAGTCCATTCGAATACGAGGCAAATCAGATGAGAGTTTCTTCACCTCATTTCAGTGCTGAAGACTATTTCAACCGATTCGTAGAATTCAGATCTTCCGTAAGAATCAGAGAGCTCGGCATTGTGTTTCGATCCTGTGCAGGTGCAAGGCTTTTACTTGGGCTCTTCATAGGCTCCTTAAAAGCAGCGGGGCAAAGCTGGTTGATGAGACAGTCCGTACAGTGAGGTCTTAGAGGGGTACATACAGTTTGGCCAAAGCCCACCTGCATTTGCGAACAAAATGAGCTGTTAATGATAATCCGTGGGATCAAACATATCTGGAGATTAAAAATATACAAATCTGGACATCCATCCCTTCTTTCGATTGAAATCAAGAGGGAGATTTATGTCTCAAAAGACAGGACACGAGTTAGAGGCCAGACCAGTAGAGGATTGATCGAGTTCCATTCATCTTTGGGAAGCCATTGTTCTAATGAAGCTCTGGTTTCTTCAGAAGTATTTGTGTTCTGCCAAGATTAAATGCAGAGCATCAGGATCAGCAGACAAAGACAGGCTTGAAAGATATCAAACTACTTCACGGTGTGTGCTGAAGACACTGCGTAAGTTCAAATATATTGCACGTCATGCGAGACCTTCCGTAAGGCAATGAGGTGCCTCAATTATAAGCTGCAAGATCATCATTCTTATTGGTACTTTGAACAACGCATACCAGTCGATGGCTTGGAGTAGATTTGGCGTGTTTAACCCACTCCAGTCGGTTGCATGTGCGATGAACATGAGTGTCAACACAGATGCCCTGGACATCCGCCCAACATTCATAATCTGGAGAGGAAAGGCCACTAAAGGGGTAAGTGACGAAAAGTAAGAAGTTTTGATATTCTGTTTATTGATACATAGCAAAACAGGTGACAGAGACCAGTTCATTTAGCGCTATCGAAAATGAGGTCTACATAAACAAATCACTTCTTGACACATTACATAAGTAATCAACAGTTTACTACAACAAACAGTTGGAAGACAACACCATGCATCACCACATACCAGATGGGCCATTTTGGGACCAATCCCAGGCAAAGCGAGTAGTTCTTTTAAAGTACTTGGAATGTCTCCATCATACTGCTCATTGCAGATCGAAGCTACCTTTTTCAAGTACCCAGCCTTTCTGGTGTAAAATCCAACCTACAAATGAAGTTGAAGGTCAGTCGATTTCTCCATCAAGTGAAAGTACTGGACATGTGCCTAAATTATGCGAGAACATGAGTTACTGACGTACCATATATGTCTTACTACTTGCAATTACATGTGACTCCGATAATACTTTTTGACTCACTGATCAATTATCATAAACGAACACAGTTTTCACATGCTTCAGGTAAAAGAGTTCTGCTAGAATTTCTGATCAGGTAAAAGTTCAAATGAACACTCAGGAAAACAACTCATTACACGTGTCTGTCAAAGCCTGAAGACCATAGACCCCGCGCCTTGGCTGTGAGGTGATGGAAGGAAGGGAATGAGAAAAGAGGGGATAGTAATAGAAGGAGCACGAGAGTGGACAAATTGTAAGTGAAGAAGGTGTCTCTTATCGTGGGATTTTCCACCACAACGGCCAATTCGGTTCAGCCGAGAAAACGTTCAATGTGTCATTCACCTGAAAGTTACAAGAGCCCCACTTGCTAGGACTGACGAAAGTGTAATATTAAAATACTTCTGTCATAGGAGGCAAAACTAGTACCGGATAGATTGCCTCGCTTATAGTCGCCTCCTCGGCTTCGCACAACCCTTTGATCGATAATAAACCCCTTTCCTGCATCCGTCCTGCTGCCGCTGCAAAGCATACCACCATCCAGTTTCGCTGGGTGAAGAGCGACACCAAGGGATGTACATAATTATAAATCCACTTCCGTATCTTGAAAAAGAGCTCTAACGGAGAATTTTAAATGACAAGCTAGAATCAAATTATGATGGCGTGGGGAGAAAAAAATAAAGTAGAATAGGTTATCTCCATCTCCACTAAGTCTTGCTTCTTAAATGAGTTCACAGTCCAAATAAGAAACGATGGAACAGGAATCAATGAATCTGTGTGCGCAGGCATTACAATTATGCAAAAGAACACGTGGATAGAGGCTTTTGATGCTTACGAGTTAATCCTCATGGGTTCAAACCAGTTGCACCCCTGGTGCCAGAAACACTCAACACTATTTCGCTAAAACTTACGTTCTTATCAATCAGCACATGTGATTTCGAGTGACAGCGTATGCAATCCTTGCCACCTATCATACCGTGTGTTATTTCATCCTTCGTTTGACTCGAGAGAAGTGCTTTGACCAAACCAGCAAATCTTCTCTCCTGTAGAAAGGAAATAAGAAAAAGGTCAGGCCATTTGAAATCATGCTTGCTAGCTAGAACTCAAAAAATACTACACATTTACAAAAGGCACCGTCAGGACAATCTTCACCACTTAGGTCTTTACCTTCGGCCCAAGAAGACCTGTGACTTTTTCGCATCCCATAGTGTCAACCGGAGCATCTCGGCCAGCTCTCATGATCTTTATGCCATCTAGGATTTCTTCCCATCGAGCTGGTCTTGCTGAAAGATATGCGACGTTACCACTTAATGCAAAACAATATTCTGGGTCAGTGCTACCAATTCCCAACAAAATTGCCATCGTAAACTTATATACTCACACAAAAGGTTCTCCGTGCTGAACACCAGTTCCTAAAACAAGGAAAAACGGTTGATAGGTCACAGTGGTGAAAAAAAGAAGCTGCAGACGGTAAATGCTGTGGAAATTGCAAAAGAACAGGGATCAAAGTTGACAAGAGACACGTGTAAGAGAAGGATTTACTTCTGTAATCTTCCAGTTCGCTCCCTCTTGCTTGACAGTTTGATGGTCCTCGTTCTGTTGGACGATGTCTTTGTCATCATAGGCCACAACAGTAGATGTTTCTGTTCGTCTTCGTTGAAATGTCTTAACTCCTGATCACGACAAGTACCAAAACGAGATCTCACCGAGTTCAAGAGTTGAAAATCCATCAAGCACCATCACTGCCCTACGAAGATGTACCGGGGAAAGGAAAAGCTTAACAATACATTAAAATATAACATACACCTGCCGAAACAAAAACATGTGACGAAAACGGTGCGAACAAGTTAAAACATGAAGTTGCAAGTATTTCACAACTTGTAAAATACAACTCTACGTGTGCAAAATAACCAGCAGTATTAAGCGCCTACGGTCAGAGGCCACATCTGCTTGTCATTTTAAAGGACAGCTACTTCGGTTGTAGTTCAGATTATAGGTGTTCCCAAACACAATATCTAGTTCTCGTTGTCTATAATGTCTTCACGATAGATATGATGCACACTCCGCATAAGCTCTCGATCAGTGCTACTATAAGTTTAGTAATAATAAAAATTACGCTGAGAAACTGCGAGATTCATCGTACTAGCTAGATTGGATTAAAAAATCACATAGAACTTGAGATATAGCCTCTACTGCACCTCCTTAAAGCAGTATATTATTGAATAGTCATGGCATATTTCCTTGATAGCAGTTTGTATTTCACATTAATTATACTGAGACATTCAGCTTTTCATTGAGACCACACACCAAGAAAAATTCACACATCTTTATTGATAAGAATCCAATTCTTTCCAATTTGCACAGAAACGGCACGCAACTGCACACGAATATAATCTCATGAATGAAATTTGAATCTACATTCCTCGACACGCACCACAACTGCCACAAAATGAAGTTCAGAGAACATTTACCAGCACTGCTGAAGGTGCTAGAAGTGGGAGTAGTCATCCGGAGAAACGATCGAGAAAACATGAATTTGGAAATGAGTCGAAGATGACCCTCGTCACACTTCTACAGTTGGTATGTTCAACCCCAAATCCTGAACAGAAGGCAGTAACTTAGGTGAAGAATACGCAGCTATTCCCTCAGTCGATAGAAAGTACATCAGCTCAGCGTCAGGATGCGACGAAGCTCTTAAGAATCATCATGCTGAAAATCTCCTTTACCGTGATTACGCAGCGTAACTCAAGTGAGAAATTTTGTAACTCTCCTAGCCAGCAGGAACTTGAGGCCCTTGTAGAAATATTGCGTTAGGGAACTTCATCCAGGTCGAAGACCCGGAACCCAGTAAGAGTGATATAATTATCAGAAGAGAGTCAATTAGTACAAAGTACAGTCCAATAAATACAAAGGCGGACACTATGACGCATTTGCAATTCACCACGTGGAACAAGATTAGCGAGCGTGAGGCGCAGGGCGATATCAAGTTGAATTCTTGAAAGGCTAATAGATGCGAGTTAGTTCTTCTTTGGATCGCACAATCGATGCCAGTCGAGGTCACTTCTTAGAGTATCAGGACTAGCGGAATAGAAAAAGCACAAAATCATCCAATCGTCCATCTACAACAAATGCTGCTGCAAAATTCAGGTAATTGCCACCTCATCCTGAGGCCTCACTTCTCAAATGTACTATCTCTCATCGTAGAGTTCAGACGTCTCGACTTCGAACTCATCCAAGCTGTCCAGCTGCAATGCAGCCAGAGAGACATGCGATTCGAGGAACAGAGAAATTACTCTGTGCAATTCAAACACGTCCACATCGGCGTTGACACACTGAGCTCAGAAGGACGAGACAAAGCACGAATTTGCATTGTTCCAGGCGCGCCACACTGAGCTCGGAAAGCGCATTTGGCGTGCGCAAGCAAGCGAGCAAGCAGCATCGAACGGCGGCCCGCTCTGCCAGACAAGCAATGGGCTGAACACGAGATCACATACCGAATCCACAGACAGCTTTGTCCGGAGGAAGTGGCGGCAGAAATCCTCATGCCTCGCCCAGAGAGTCCTGAGCAGCAAGCGCTGTACAGGGCCTCCAACAAACTGGAGCGAGAGCGTGTGACAGACGACAGAGCTCGTGAGCGCCAGAGACCCCAGTTTGACACGTTGAGAATGGCAGCAGATATTCCTATGTTCGAGGTCTGGCATATTAGACGTCAAGGACCGCATACTCCCAAAGTGGACCCGCATTTACTCATCTCCTCCATTTCTGCCTTCTATTTGCACAGTTTATTAATTAGTTTCCTTTCAACCTAACGAAACCAATTAATCTATAAAGTAGACAGGTCTCTCTCATCAACTTCCTGATATGTTTTGTATTAATAACTTATGTATATTGATCCTTGGTATTAGAAAAGATACATGTACATACTGTATATATAAATTTAAACACAAGGATTCAATTGGAGGGTTAGGATCTATGATACATTCACTCCAAATTTACCCTACATGTACTCTGCTGCAGCACCAAAAACAAGGGTTTTTTTTCCTGTTAAAAATTTACAATCAATTGATTTTGAAAATCAAGCAGCTTGCGAAGCAAATACAGTTTGCTCATCATTATAAGGTTCAAAATCGATTTTTTTCTCCTAATAAAATAGGAAACCATATATTAACTTGTTCTTGTATTTATCTAATACAATTAGCCATATCTACAACTCCCATAGGGGTTGTAGAAATATACGGCATTCCAAACTCTTTTTCTAGTTTTGGTGTATTTGAGAGTTTGCTTCGACTGTTTGTCAAATTCATGAGCAAGCTTTCACATTTCTTTTAAGAAGTTGCATGCTCATGAATATGTTTTTGACCATGGATTACGGTTTTCCTCCCTAGAGTTGTTTGTTTATGCAATAAGATTAGCTTGAGCTTGATATATGGATCCAGATCCTCATTCTTCACTTGGAATAACAATCTAGATGCAATGAAGTGTTCACAATTTACTCATTTATCAATGAAGAGTATAATCATCCATGATGCGGATAGAAATATGGTGATTGCCACTTTATGTGAAGATGAATATGTCATATGAAAAGAATGATGGTATGTGTTGTAGTAAAATGGTCTAAGTTAAGTATACTTTGCTCTAAACAACTAGTTACAGTTGTAAACGAGGTGATAATCATTACGAGAGTTCATATCCCATGTTCATGGATGCACGTCCTGTTCAACGAGAGTTCAGTGTAAAGAGATTTTTGTTTCCAGCATTAGATAAAGACAGAATTATGAATGACTTAATAAATTTTGCAAAGTGTATACTGTAATCCTATGTTCTTTCATACATCCCAATAATACTTCCACATGAAATCAGAATACCAACTCATAATGAAAATGTACATTAATTATGATACAAAACATTTTAAACATATAACTAAGTTTATCATATTCATGATTATATTGAATTGGTTATGATTCTGTAGGAGAAAATTATGAAATGATATGAAGTTAGGAGATAAAATTAAATATGTTATTATGTGATTTTAATCAATAAAAAAACTTCATACTATGGATATGTTGATATTCTTAATTTGAATAAGATTTTGACTGGTTTCACTGAGTAGAGACTCTTTCCATGTAAAGAGTAGATACAAAAATTAAGTACATGGAAAGTTGAAAAGCTACAAGATCGGATAGAAGGGCAGAAACTTTACAGTCGCATAGTTATGAACCCTCTTCGGACAAGTTCAACACCCATCCCTGCTTCAGACAAGGAAATTTGTAAATTGATCTTGCTGTCACTAATGCCATCTGAGTAATGTGTACTTAATAGGTCCATGGTGCCAACCAAACTCTAAATGGTATGACAAGGCAGACCAGCGATTCTGGAATTGTTAGCTTGACTCTTGTCTTCGAGATGTTGGCTCCTGCCCATCAACTCGATGCAAATCCGTGTAAATGAGTAATGTCAACCTAAACCATGTTGCCAGAGTCGTGGTTCTGTACCAGTCTATTACTCGCTAACCAAGGCTAGCTATGTTACAAGTTTAGCTGACGTCGACTCATGTGAGTGATCGACGTTACATGCAATGGCAAACACAACTTCCATTAGGGATGGATGATGATTGCTGGTACTCTTTAATCCAAAATATCATCTAGTCATTTGAATAAATGCTACATTTTCAATTGCTTGGCTAATAAAATTGAAAATTTGTAGAAAAGGCTACATATGAGTAATTATTGATAAGATTCACAATCCGTAAGGCATAAAGAGCTACACGTATGAATCTTTTTTTTTTTTATCTAGCTTTGATGTTACAAAGACTGACTGGATCACTATTAGTGATATTCAAGCCTTTTTAATGAGATACACTATATACTTATAAATCTCTACTTCAGTCACTTAGTAATGGAGACAAAGATGTGAATTCATGGTGTAACTCTGGAATTAAAGCATTTGTAAGATGTTCAATATTACATGCAAAGATCTATGATTGTATTCATATCCTCTTCAAATATGTTTACATTAAAAAATTCAAATTCAAATTCAAACTTTATATTATAAGGAAAGTGTTCAAAATTTTTATTTGAAAATGTAAGAATTTATAAAATAAATCACAATCTGTTTTTTAATTTTTTGATCTTATTGATAATATTTAGTTATAAGAAATTTAAATGCAAAACAATAAGTATCTCTAACTTTTAATTTTGATTGAAAATATGTGTTATACATATACATGAAACAAAATTCCAAAAACCTATGATGCAGATAAAATTTTAATTTTTAATGTTTGCAATAATTGTATGTTGAATGCCATGACGAACTTATTCAAAAAAAAAATCAAGAACTGACTATTAAATGCTATTAACTACAAGTTCCTTCAATCATGAATGTACTTGTAAGATGAATAATCAATTCAGTATTGTTTTGATTAATAGATATTAATTTTACTACATGTAACCTGTATTTTTTTTTGAAGGGACCACATTCAAAATTTTTCCACTGGGACAAAATTTTAACTTTTAAATATTGTAAGTACTTAAAATTGAAGATTTTATTTCCCCAAAAATTTAACATATTAATGATGGACAATTCTTTCATAATATAATGTAATTTTTTCATATTTCCTTCCAATTTATTTAAAAGAAATTTTAGTCCAACCATTTATCTCAATGAGTAATAAAATTCCAAATCTTTAAATAGAAATTTTGTCATCAAATTTTTTAAGACTGATATAAATTAATATTTATTTTAATTATTGGACATTAAAGTAAGGATCACAAGTATATTGTTTGCAACTTCAGTTATAATTGCAAGAATACACTAATGTATCTTGATGTAAAAAAAATTTCATAACCAAATTTATAATTATAGTAAAATTCATACTGTCTAATTTCAATCCTTTCAAAATATTTAAAATTTGATGATAAAAAAAAATCAGTTTTTAAAAGTAAGGTTCAAAACTGCTCTAAATCTAAGTTTATGCATTAATCAGATTGTGAGATCATTAAAAAACATTTGAAATATTATATGATTGAATTTTGCTTCAAGTTGATCAAATGTTTGATATAACACACATTGCTATTAGTTTCTTGTATAAAAAATAATTATTTTTCATTTAGAAATGTAAATATTTAGACATATATCATGCTTTGATTTTTAACATAACATCATAAACTAAAATTCGAATGTGAAAAGTTTGTAAAATTCAATAACAATAACTTTCCTAGTTAAAAACAATTTATGAGCTTAAATTCTTCAGCTAATCATCATCTATTCTATGAAAAATGCAAGAATGGCTAATAAGTAAAGTTAGCATTTCATGTGAGTTATTTTGCTCCTTGTCAACTTGGCTTTATAACTGCTTAAACTGCTGCATAAAAACAAATAAATCATTGAGAAAAATGTGGACTCTTTCAAGTTTTATAATTCATTGCTCCTAAATATTAAGATGATGTTAAGATACATTCTATATATATAATCTTCATGAAGAAAAAAATCATTTTTTCAACTTTTTGCATGTCATGTGAATTTTTTCCTTATTTTTCAAACTCATATTTATGCTAATACTATTTTCATTTTCTTTCAAAAATATTTAAATAATTTACATTCTTAAATTGAGAAATACATCTTCATAATAGAAATAAATATTTCTTTATAATTCTTATTTTTAAAGAAAAAAATTAATTTTAGCTATATTTTTTAATTTTAATTTCTCATTTTGCACTCGAAATTCAGTCTAAATTATTTTCAAATTTATATTCAGGATTTAGATATTATATAAACAGATAATTTTTCGAAAAATTTCAAATTATTTCAAAATATATATAAAATTTATAAGGACCTAAGTTTAATATAAAAAATAAAAATTCAAATATTTCAACTCATTAAGTCTCAATATTTTTCAACAGATTAACTCATAGATTCATGTTAAAAATATCACATCTATCAATTTTTATTATTTTTCTTATTATGTTAGAATCATTCATAGTTTTGATATTGTTACAGAAATCTATAGAACAAATTTAATTATTGTTTTTTTTCAACGTATTTTGAAGTAATAATACCCTTACGTTCATACCTATAGAAAATTTATTTCAAAACTCTTTGTTTGAAAGTGAATTTGAAAAATATTATTTGATACTAAAATTTCATCATTTGCTAAACAAAAGTCTTTTAAAATTGATATCCAAGTCATTGAAAAATATCATTATTATGTAAATAGCAATTGTTGATCACAGATTTACACAAGATACATATGAAGTTTCTAATTATTGCAGCAAGTATTTGGCAGGACAATATATTTAAAAGATAATACAGTATTCTAAAAAAATATTTCTTTGTGTTTTAATCACAATTCATATTTGATCTAGTTTAATTTGATCGCAGAGTACACTCTTACTGGTTTCATTTCTGATCTATTCCGCCCGTTTCAGCCGCCAGTATCTGAAACTAGAAAATTTCTGTTTGGACGTTGGAGCCTGTAAAATACAAATCTGAAAATGACATCTGTCTTGTCAGCCGCCAGTATCTGAAACTAGAAAATTTCTGTTTGGACGTTGGAGCCTGTAAATTACAAATCTGAAAATGACATCTGTCTTGTCAAGTCGGTATCCAAGTCCTCTCGATAAATACTTATTGATAAAGTGAAGGGGATTAAAATGAGAGAAATGTTACTGATAAGGAATGATCGTAAATTCAGATGTCCATTTATGACGTAATTTCTTATGACATTGTTCATGAACAAATTTGATGCTGATTATCCTCCTCGTCATCGGATGCTCACAAATACGCATGTGCGACAGCAACTGAAATATTGGAATGTTTGTGATTCTCTCAATAGCAAGATTGGAGCTCGATCGCGCAGTTATCTGATCGTTTCAGGGATTCAGATCTGGAAGTGAATACCTCCAGCGTGAGTTGGAAAATTCGAAATGGTAAGATCAAAATCAAGTTCCAGATTCTTAAAGCATCTCATTGAGGGAATGTTCGAAAGCACATGTTTAGTACTGTATGGGGTCAGGATATGGTTGCAAAGGAATGGACCCAGTTCACTTTCTGCCATACATCAAATCTGATCATTGATGGAGTTCTGGAGTTAAGCCAGAAAGCGCCTGTACAGGAATTCCAATAAACTTCAAAATTCACGTCCTCACATGAAGTTCGCTTCTTTCAACTGAATTTCCCGAAAATCCCAAGTTACTACGGTATACGTATTAAATGTTTCTGAATCAAGTGAGTTGGCTGCTACTGCAACTTATTTGACGGTGCGCCACCTGCACAAGTCGGAGTACCTCCGCGTTTTCCAATCTGAAATTCATAAAACATGTGAAGATGATCGCCACAGTTTCGAATTGTCGCCGAACCACATTTTCCATATGGTTGCGGACCATGTCCGGACGTCAGTTCGTTACATGAACTGTCTCTGTAGTAGCCAAATAAGCCACAAGGCCAAGTCATCAAAACAGCGGATTTGTTCCTCCTTGTCATTTCCTTTGCTTTTGTCTGAACTGTAGTCTAGATTTACCCTTGCCTGAAAATAAAAGGCAAGGGCAAAATGGACATTGGGCAGACAGCTTGGCATCCCATCATATTTCATTGGAGCACACCCTCCACTATGGCAATTTAAGAATTTTTTTTAAGAAATCCGAGAGGCAGTGGATTCTATTGCACATTTTTTCCCTGATCCAATTGGCTGCCTGTGCAATTGCCAGCACAAAGTTCACGATATAAGCTTCACTTTAATAATACCTCTTTTACCTGCAGTGACTTTCGGGATTGCAAAATGGACCCGACCCTGTTGTTAGACGTGTATGTTTCCCAATATCCACTTTCTGAGCTCCGGGCCCTTGTCTACAAACAAATCAGTGTCGATGAACTGTAGCAGTAAGTGGTGATGGTTCACTTCCTGCAATGTTCTGAAGTGAGCAGTATTGGAGAAGAGATTTCCACGTTTTTTCTGAGTATAGGCGAGAGGCTTGGTACTTAAAGCCTCGAAGTGCTATAATGGAAACTACAAACCTTTCTTGGATCTTCACCACATTTTTGTGTTTTGACTGTCCGGGAGTTCATGGTGGACCGAATGCTTTTGTTGAATTCTCAAAGCCGAAATGGATGAACATGGAGACACAAAAAGCATGCTGAATTTGTGGTCCTTAAATGACAGACTATTTACCAGCTCAAATCTCACCATATCTTCCATCTTGCCACCAGAAATAAGGTCTGCTGCCGTTTCCTCAAATCTACACCACCATGCCAGGTGGTTCAGACTTGATGCTGACTCGAAGGACTTTCCGATGATAAGAAGCAGTATGTATCAAAATGTGTACTATGGAAGACTTCTACGTAACTCATTTCAGCTTTAGCACATTTAATAACTTTTAGACTTTTACCACTGCAAATAACTTATAGATTCTTACCACTGCACCCTGGACATCAATCTCTTGGGAATGAATCTCTTTGCGCTTGGGGCAATGACGCAGTTAGTGAGGTGAAACCGAGACGCGTCAATTGCTGGTTGAAAACTACTTCCATTTCCAAACTCCCTTGCTTGTAGAATTTACAGCAGACAATCAAGCTGCCATAATAATTACTACTGACAGCAGTTGAAGGAATAGCAAATAAATTGGTTTATTGTTTCATGAATTGTTCCGAACACCCAGTTCGGGACTGCAGCTAGCTAGATGCAGAACCGAACTGGATGACTCGAACTATTACTTCTTGACCCTCTTTCTCACAAACTCCGCACCATCCTCAACGCAACACTACATCCTCTCTCCAAGCACAGGCTAATCTTTTGACCCACGAGGTTTGCATGGCCTTATTCGTCTCGTCAAGAGCCTGCCCCTCAAGAGTGCACAACGAGTGTTACGAAGGCCAGGTGAGGAAAGCCGACGCGAGCTCAGCTTGAACATTGCATGTGGTGAGAACCTGCAGTGTTCAAAATTGCACTCGTTTTTAAACAGGGCTACCAACTGTAAAAACCAAAATAACATAAATGTTTTTCCTGTCCATTCTACAGCTGTTGGACCCTCATTATTCAGAACAATAACAGAACAATCATTCTGGGAGATGTATCAAAATTTAAGGCTGACCACTCAACGTGTAAGTGAAGGGACTTCATCATGGTGAGACTTGCAAGAAGCCACAATTGAAACATGGTCCTCAGAATGTAATTGTGATAATTCAGCCATATACTGATCATCTTCAGAAACATAACTCCACGATTGATATGACTGCATAGAAAAGACATGTGAACGTGGAAATTTGAAGGAAGATTCTGCAGAGCGTCACATTGCAAGAGTGTCTGAACATTTGCTTGTCATTTGCATCATGACATTCTAAGGTCTTCAAATTCCTAACAAATTGCCAGTTCTAAGACCTTCATTCATGCACTTCTCGCACACCCATGCATGCCCACCTAATTCTTGTCTCACATATTTCACCTGATACAACTTGAAGGTTGCCGAATAGCTATCTCGAAGCTGGGGCGCAAGAGTTTGCTGAATTCTCAACCATGCTTCTTTGAGCTCCATGCTTTCCCCACCTTTCAGAACTGCACTACGATCACTATCGCTAATGCCAACTAGTTTAATAATATCAGATTTTAAATCTGCCCAGTCCGGAATGGCTTGGCCCAACCCGAGGGTCGTAGCCAGTCCAGCCTTTGTAGCATAATACATGATTTTGTATGAAATTTCAATAGTTTTTCTAATCCAAGAGCTATTGTATCGATCAACTCGTATCTTCAAACCTTCTTGATCTTTGACAAGGTGAAACCCAATCGCGGACTCACACATCAAGTGTATGCGAATGATTGTCCCGCCATGCAAAATAGCACTCATCCTATAGAGAAGACCAACATCGTCCGTAACGTAAGGTCGTTTGGGCGTTCTGGCCTGCTGAAGTGACTGAGAATATTCAACAATCTTGTCCACTTTAGACATGAAATCACTCAGCGTTGACTGCAGTTCTTGCTGCAAAGAGAGTATTTGTTCCATCTTCATCTCCAATCTCTGCACAATACTCTGCACTGATCTCAACCTTTCATCAACACCATCAACTTTTTTTTCTACCCGATCTATGCTTTCCAAAATAAGTCGGATTTCACGATTTTCAACACTTGTGCTCTCCCGACTCAAGCACCTGGATGAAGGTTGATTGAAGTCTTTCACATCAGGAAAATTTGAATTGGTGACCATGTTCTCTTTTTCGGGGTAAGAATGAATCAAATCATTGTTCACTTTGATTAAACCTTGCTGCAATGAGCCCAATTGTTGGATAAGGTCTTGCTGAAATGACTTCAATTGTTGCATTTGCTTCTCACGGGTCTCATTCACAACCGTTTCCACATCGCTTTCCCACAGCAAATCCCTAGCTCTTTCGGATATAACCTGTGTTGTGTATCCTTCAATCGAGGGCCAAGAGTGCTCATAGTTGAACAACTCATCCTCCTTCCCCAAGTGAGACTTATCCAACAAAATATCCTCAAGTTTGTCATTGATGCTACGAATGAAATTTGACTTGAGATCCTCGAATAGAATTGCCCCTCTCATATGACTCGGAATCAGCATCTCCACGCAAAGTGTTTGGATCACTCCGAGCACTAACGCCACCCCAGGACAGCCTTTGGATGATGCGCAAAATGATATCAACTCCTTGACGAAATGCTTCATCACGAATTTCACAGCACCCTCCCTTGATTTATGCTTCGAGCATAACATCAGAACATCCACGTATATCTTGGACCTGTCTTGCTGGATATAAATTTGATGTCCATCAAGGACAAGTCGTAGATAATGTCGAGAGTAGGTCACAATCTTCTCCGAAACATGCATCTCCGATATCAACTTGCGTCTCATGAACATCTACAGTGAAACATAATTTGGTGAATATTGAGCTGCGCATTCCAAAAATTGAATTCATTATATGAAAAGAAAACACTCCATGCATCAAACACAAGTTACAATCAGAACTCGACACATTCAATTTTCTCACAGTATATATATAATCACCTGGAAGCATGGAAAAAAAGCAGCGGTAAGTGACATTGTTCTCCGGTCTTCGCATTGAATCCGGATGCCGACAAACTTTGAAATTTCAGCCCTAGAATTCCAAGCCATCGACTCCACGTGCGCCACTTCTTGAGGCTTCTGTCCTTCAATGCTTGCATGCTCAGGTATGAAGGAGGGAATGAAATACTGAGAAGTATCTTCCAGCTTGAAACACAAATCTAAATTGATAAGGATGTTTTCAAGCACCTCTCTGTTCACAAATCTCTTTCCAGGTGGTTGCTTTTTCAAAATCTCCTCTATCAACCGACCAAAGTCTCTCTCACTCACAAAACCGTCCTTGCTTGAGTATGAGTCACGTGACCGGGGCTCTTGAGCTTGAAAGTCTTGACCCAGAGCTACAAGCTCACCCAATAATGTATGTGTGAGCCAGTTTGGATCTACAATGATGTGATCAAGGTTAGGTATACAAATGATGGATCCAGCATCATTCAAATAGGATGTGATTGATTTTTGTATCCTTGAATGATCAAAGACTTGAGCAGAAGAAGATGGAAGAAATGGTGTCAAAATGGGGGCACAGAAATCATGAAACTTTTGGGATGACCAAAGAGGGCAACAACTGTTCTTCTTGGTATTTTTAACCAAGAGTGACGAGAGTTGAGAACACAAGTGAGGAACTAGTGGAGATTTTTTTCTCAACAACTTCTCAAAGATCTCAAATAAGTGATTTTTGAGAGGAATAACTTGCTTATTTTTACGAGCATCCACATGAAAACACTCTTGAATAGGATGAAGATCCACAAATCTTGCAAATCTTATAGTGAGTTTTTTCACTATGAACTGAGCCCAATTCAAAGAATTGTCTATGGCTTTATCCTTGTGTGAAATCACAACAAGAACTTGTGGAAGATTATGTCCAATAACCCTAGTGCTCGATGTGATGAAACTCAACCATTCCTCCAACTCTGACTCAAAACAAGATTCTGCTTTGTTCGAAGATGTTTTTTGACAGAAGGGGCTATACACAAATAGAAAAACACAAAAATTGCTACTTTGAGGAAAAAGCACACTTTGAAGGGTACGGAAAATTTCTTGTCCTGCAAGATCCCAAATTGAGATTTGACCTTTGTCATTGTTTGGCAAGAACTCCACTTCGATTCCTTCAGTCCTCCTCCTGAATTCAGCCCATGGCTTTCTAAACCATTTTTTTCCGTGTACCAATGTTTGACGTAATTGAGTCTTGCCTATAAACATAACCACAACAAAAATAACTTGTTACTTGAGATATTGTTTAAGATTAATTCATACCATATTCTTTAAGCATGTTAATCAGAGTGAGAAAAAAACAAAAATTATTATTTAAATTGGAATTCATTCGCATTTGACTTTTTGTTTTATTTTTCACACAAATCCAATAACATCTAGATAGATAAATAAACTTCATAGTTTAATCTTAAATTTGAAAAGTAAAATCTTATATTGCTAGTTCAAAAAACTGAGAGCTTGCAGAGCAAGTTACCTGCTAGAGGAGAGCCGCATAAGAAGAGCCGACCAGCTTTTGCATCTCCAAATGTTAATTTGGCGTCTCGGAATACAGACATGTAGACGGCCCGCTTCTGGTTCTGGTTGAGGGCCTCTTCAATCAGCGCCGCCTTTCCGTCCTTTGCCCATGAGGTTCTTGAGACATTTATTTCCTGGAGAGTCAAGTTGACTTGGAGGAGCTCCATCAGGTCTCTGAATGACTCTTCGTCGAGTTTAGGCCCTCCCTCTTCGCCGCGTTTAGACCCTAACAAATCCAAGTGAATGAGACTTGTGTTCCCTCGCAGGCACAAAAACAGGTCCTTAAGTAGTCCCTTCCAAAAATCATTGCTTCCAACACTTAATAGGAGTCTCTTCAAGACGGAAGTTTCTCCAGTTTTTCCATTCATGGACAGGGTACTTTCCGGTCTATCTTGGTTGGTACCTGAAGTGTCAAGACTCGCCAATATACTGAAAGATTTCAGAGATTTGATTTCTCCGCGCAGTACCCTACCTAATAGGTTTAGTGATAACATGCACTCATTCTCATTGGAAGGACAGAGTTCAAGCTTCACTGTGGGGTCCTTGACTTCGGAGCTAGCAGCACACACAAGAGCTTCTATTGACTCCCATTCATCCCCCCAATGAAAGTTAATTTCAATGTTTGTTGCTCTATCCTTGTCACGAATGACTTCGCCGAGCTGGTGCCATTCCTCAGGACTCATCTCCACGCTCGACAACCTCACTTCCTTCAATGATGGGTTGGAGGTAAGAACTTCCCTTAAACAGCCTCCGAGTCCATCCACCTCCGTCAAGTAAAGACGTTCAATGGATTGGTTGCCATGATCTCCGGCCAAAGCTTGCAGCAACAAGGCCGCTCCCCACTCTACCTCCTCTAACTTCAATTCTTTCAAAGACGAGCGGTGGATCAAAGCCCGGGACAGGATTCCAACGTACTCCTCCTCCATGGCTCCCAAATGGCCTAAACTCAACGTTTCTAATCGAGTAGCACTGTTCATCATGTCGGCCACATGCTTAACTGCACTGGAGTCCTCCAACGCCCACGCACTAATTAGTTCTAGAAACTGGAGATTAGAATCGGAATTTCCCTGCAGTCCTGAGGCCAGATTCAACCAACACCTGGCACTCAAATCGCAACCTCCTATTCTCAATACTTGTACGCTAGAGGAATTCAGAATTCTCCCTATCTGTAAACACAAGCTCTCCTTTTCCTCATCTGAAAGGTTGAAATTGTGCCTCTCTCTCAAAGAGTTAAGTTGTATATGTTTTATAAAGGTGCTAGACCTGGATTTTCTTAAAACTACCTCCCACTCGCTTGCCGTCAACCCCGATATATCAGCGCTACCATACACATGTATCACTTCTAGGTGAGTAAAAGTGTTGCAGTTGCAGATTGCCTCCAGCACTCGAAGGCGCACTTTGCTTCGCCACCCTGTGATCGTCGAGGGCGATGCACGCTCCGGAAAGAACGTTCGTAAATAGGGAAGCCTCGTCATAGGCTCGCCTTTTCCTTCCAGACGCCGGATAAGGTCCTGGACAGCGGAGAGATTCTCCAGTTCCTTGTAGGAGAGGGTAACCTTTCCTTCCAGACGCGGTATAAGGTCCTGGACAGCGGAGAGATTCTCCAGTTCCTCGTAGGAGAGAGTCACCAGTTCCTCGTCTGCAGAGTCCATTCCCCGTGTCTCAGCAGCCTGACTGACTGTGGATGCACCTGCACCTTCCATTCTCTCCTCCCCTCGCACAGAGTAAGAAACGAGCGAAATGTCACCTGGCCTATAGGAGGCCTCCTCCTCGATCTGAAGGACCTGCTCACCCGAAGAGCACTAATTTGCCGTCGCAGTGTCACAACTTGTGTGCATGTGCGTGCTGGGCATGACACTTCTTGCACTCTGCATGAGGAGATACACAATGATTAGTCTTACCTCTGTAAACAATCGGATCAAGAGTAATCATGACAAAGGCAGGGAGATTGTGCAAACTGGAAGTAAGAATCTGCTTGAACTTGGTGCAGGGCAAGACAAGCTATGTGAATCAAAATGAACGCAGATACCCAATATTTCGGTTCCAAAGCAAATCGTAGAATTTGCGCAAAGGGGACTTCACATCTCTCGGGAACACAAACCTATTGTGAAGTCGAACTCAGAGGGCTGTTTGATTTTCCCTGGTGACCGAACTGAGTGGACAAGCTAAAAGCTCTGCAGTTGAATGTGAAATCCAAAAAATTGGTTCGTAGCAAAGATGGTGCGACGTGGATGCAGAATGTCATGGAAAGCATGGAAGCGCAGATATCTCAGATGTGAAGTACTCTGCCTTGTGTACAAGTAAATCTACAATTGGACTGGGAGAATGCGAATCTAGCTGCATCAACACCCTGGGGAAGACAGAGCCTACGAAGCGTAGCGCGTAGAAATTTGCAGCGTCCTCATCAGATCTTCTCTTTAAATAGTGTGGATGATGGAGGTCAAGACAACCTACGAACACAACAAGCGTGTTCCTCCATACTAGGTGTGATTGGAAACTGTTTTTAGAAGGTCAGAGTGAATCTTGACGTTGTTGTGCAAGCAGACGTGAAAATTTAGTGAATGCATCAGTGTGCTGATACACTCGATGTCGTCACGCTGAAAACAGCGATTTTAATTGTCATCTTCATTGAATACTTTTTTCTGGAATCTGTGGCCTATTCAAGCAAGTTTATGTAGTGTGACAAGTGAGAGGCACATGGGTAGTCAGCAGGGTGGACAAAGCCTGTTGTGCGTTTTTCTTGCTTTGAAGATCCGGACAGAAGGCTGCATTACTCTACACAACTCGTAGGTTCAGAAAAAACTGATAAACGATTTGGGTGTTTATTAAACATAATGTCGAAGAACTGTGTACAGAGTATACGAATACTCGAGGTTCTCAACTGCTGGTATGGTTGTTCTCTTACCTCGGCTGTCAAGCATGTGAGCGCATGCACAGTTCTCATACCAGAGTCTGGAGGTCTTTCAACCCCAAACATGAACGTCTCCTGAAGAGCACTCCTGTTTGTTTATCAGGTCGTGTAAAATCCGACAGAACCAGCATGATACTTGCTAAGGTCAACGTCAATCCTCTCAAGAATTTACATTTATCGAACTTGGTTGCAAGTGAAGAACTGTGTTGATGAAAAACACCTCATATGATTAATGTTAGGCAACAATGAGTCATGACTTGAGATGAAGATCTCGTTTAAAGGAGAAGACAAACATACATTAAGACTCAAATATTTGATATAAATAAACTAAAATGAAACAAGGCATACTGTACATTTTGCACTCGTGTGCTCATATCATAAATCAAATGAGAAAATTGGAGCACATTACTCACCCGATAAAATCGCGGACACGCAACAGTGTTAATTTATGTATTCAGTTTCCTCTCTTTTTAACTGTTATTTAACTTAATTTTTGTTAAATAATTTTAAATTGTGATTAAATACCTTTCTGTTACATGTCTAGTATGCTTTGCATCTTTATTTGATGATACTTCCTATCTCAAAATGCTAAGATATGGAAAACTCTTATAATTTTCATCGAACAGGAAATTTTTCAACAAAAATTAAAGAATTATATTTTTCATAAGAGATCTTAATTGCCTCAACTTTACATTTTTGCCCAAGAATCAGGAGCTTTGATTCTTGGGCTGTGGGAACATGGTGTTGGAGAAGATCAGAGTAGATCTTGACTTTGTTGAACAAGCGAAGGGAAAACGTGGGTGAATGCCTCAGTGTGATGATATACTCGATGACGTGACATTGACAACTTCAATTACAAATTTCTTCTTTATTAATCCATTTATCTGGGATGTTTGATCTATTCGAGCAAGTGGACGTATTCTGACAGCTGAGCAGCACATGCGTAGTCAGCTCTAATAAGCATGTTACGTTATTTCTTAATTTTGACCCAGAACAGTTGTGTACATAATTGTATTTAACTTGTATTTAACTCATGAGCTTTTTCGGAATTTTCTAACTATGATATCGAAGAAGTGGGTACAGAGGATACCAGTACTCGAGGTTATCAACTGCTGGTATGATTGTTCTTCTAGCCCAGCTGTCAAGCATTTGAATGCATGCACAGAGTGAACTTACTCAGTTCAAAGTGAAGATGCTCGGCTGAATACTATTGAATTTTTGAGTGGGACGTTTTCTAACATGTACAATGCACATGAAAGTGACTCGAGTGCAGAGTTCATCAGAATCACGCCTTCTCCTCATTTTGAACACACATTCCGAGTAGACCTTCATACTTTGTGATTGGAACATAGTGTTAGAAGGTCAGAGTAGATCTTGACTTTGAATGCATGCACAGAGTGAACTTACTCAGTTCAAAGTGAAGATGCTCGGCTGAATACTATTGAATTTTTGGGTGGGACGTTTTCTAACATGTACAATGCACATGAAAGTGACTTGAGTGCAGAGTCCATCAGAATCACGCCTTCTTCTCATTTTGAACACAGATTCCGAGTAGACCTTCATACTCTGTGATTGGAACATAGTGTTAGAAGGTCAGAGTAGATCTTGACTTTGTTGCGCAAGCTAAAAGAAAACGTGAATGAATGCCTCAGTTTGATGATATACTCAATGACGTCACATTGACAACTTCAATTACTATTTTTTATTTATAAATCCATTTATCAGGGATGTTTGATCTATTCAAGCAAGTGGACTTATTCTGACAGCTGAGTAGCACATGCGTAGTCAGCTGTAATAAGCATCTTACGTTATTTCTTACTTTTGACCCAGAACAGTTGTGTACATAATTGTATTTAACTTGTAGGTTCAGAAAAAACTCATGAGCTTATTAGGAATTTACTATCTATGATATCGAAGAACTGTGTACAGAGAATACCAGAGGTTATCAACTGCTGGTATGATGGATCTTCTGAATGCATGCACAGTTTGGAGGTCTTTAGACCACAAACATGCAATCGTTATCGAATTTTGATTGTGCTAAGAACACTCTTCCTTGATTATCGCTTGGTACAGAAGACGACAGAACCAGCATGATTTGGTTATTTGCCATATTCTACGGTTCCTTTGTTGTATGTTTTCACAATTGTTACCGCCAAAACATCTGAGATTTTACAAGTTTCCGATGGTTAATATGTAAAAGAACTTTTCTGAAATGTTGCACTTGGTACGCAACTATAGTATTTACATAGTCCCTTGAATTCTTAATCTATGGAGTACTAGAAAATACTTTTGCTACACAAGAGGTGCAAGATATCTTGCACTTACTTTAATGACCCAAGCTCTATCTTACATAATCATAAGGATAAACTCTTAATGCATCATCTTCTAGTAAACTCATGACAATACTGTTTGGTACTCAGCATTCTTCAAATTGATATCTTAAAATATGTCCAGCTCCAATTAGAAATTATTAAGCATACTAATTTTCACTCCCGGTTTGTACTGAACTTATGCCAATTCACTCCACTTGAGACAGTGAAGATTCTGGGCTGGACAATTTTGATATTTTTTGTGGGACCTAACAATTATAATGCACAGGACATTGATTTATTGAAGAGTTCATCGGAATCACGCAACCATCCTGTCTGGTTTTCAAAAACACACTTTGAGCCAACCGTGACTTCAGGGGACTATTTCAAACTCCTCTGGTGCCCATTAAAGAAAATTACTCAATTTGTTTTGATGTCATGCAACTCCTCCGCATTCACACTATCCTAACCCACCTTAAGATTATGAATGCAGTTTCCAACGGTCTATTAACTGCAATTTCCAGACGGTTGTGTACCGCGTCTGGTGTTAGTTTGTTCTTAGACCATACCTGTAGTGGAGTAGCCAGATAGTCCACAAGTCTCAATCACAGAATTCTGACTTTTCTTCATTTATAAAAGCTTTTGAGATTTTATGGAACCGACAAACAATTGTACTTTCAGCAGAAAGCTTGGCATTCTATAATACTCTCTAATACTTTCCACTGATGGCGAAGACAAGAGTGACTGAGTCAGGAGGTTTTGGTTGCACATTTATTCCTTGATCCAGTCCGGATGCCTTTGGAATTGCCAGCACCAAGTTCATGGCATTAGCTTCACCTGAACTACACCGAATTTTAAGTGCAGTGTCTTTCGGAGTCGTCTTTCAATAAAATTTTCAGACCCGACAACAGATCGGACCCTGTCTAAGACGTGGATGTGTCCAATTATCCATTTTCTCCGCTGCGAGCCCTTGTTCACAATCAAATCAATGTCGATGAACAGCTGCAGTGAGAAGAGTAAACGCCGCTGAAGTGGTGATGGGTGACTTCGTCCAATGTAGCTGTCCGTCTAAGAGTGTTACTCAAAGTGCTGTAGTTTCTACTACAGCACTTTGTTCAGTCTCTACAAACCTTTCCCGAATATTCACCACATTTTCTTGTTTTTGAACGAGTCAGAGTCCAGCGAGGAAAGTAAATCCAGGAACGAGTCAGAGTCCAGCGAGGAAAGGGAATCCAGGAACGAGTCAGAGTCCAGCGAGGAAAGGGAATCCAGGAACGAGTCAGAGTCCAGCGCTCATTTCGCTTCATGCAGTAGTATTCAGAGTTGCGGTGACTCATATGCAAATGTGCGGCATGGACGGTGCGCCACCTGCGCAAGTCGCAATACGTTGGCCTTCACGCCCATTCCGAAGAATATCCGAGAATTATCGATTTCTATTACTGCAGCCTGGAGATCAATCCCTTCTTAATTAACTCCCTTGCTCGCAGAATTTACGGAAGAAAACCATGCTGCAAGTCAATTTGCTGGAAGAATCTCTGTTGTTGAACGTCCACACGCAGTCCAACTGTAGTCTCCACTGCGCCCCTGCATTTCGGAGCTTGTATGCATTACCATTTATTTTAGAATCGAAACTACATAGACTCGGCACTTGGAGACCAATATCAGGCGCTGAATTAGCATGTCAAATCATTTGTGCGAGAGAGATGATGAGTAATTATGATTTCAGAAGCACCTTCTAAGCAGCACCGGAAGTATCCATGGTGGAATTGAAATGGCAGTATACATGTTATCCGATGGCCCTGTTGTCAATCTTTCAAAGAAAGTTTGTAGATCTGACAGATCTGATCTTAGGAAGTGTGCGTTGCTGTAGTAATGCTTACAACAAGCTCCAGAAGCCTGATGTGTTCAAGTTTCTCATCCGATCTTAGATCGAAGGAACTCAGATCAGAGTATGTTCGACATAGTTCCTCATAGAAGTATGAGGTTTTTGCTCGCGATGATCCAATGATGACAGACAGAATAAAGTCATGGATAATTTCGATTTCTCCTGGTTTGTTCTGATGCTTACATTGTTCCAAATAATCCCCTTGAGCGTCAGTTTGAAGTGCGAAGTGACAAGGTCACCACTACAGTCCCAAAGCATGATTCATGATAACGAAGGAGTCCAGGTGTCGAAGATGACAGAGAATCCCATCCATCTAGAGAGAAAGCTAGAGGGTT